TCCATTCTTTCTTTCTGTCGGTCTCTTTTTATGTATGTATGCATTAAACCCAGTGATTCCCAAGCGGTGGCAGCCATAGCACTGGTGGTACGCCAGAGCCTGCTGAAAGTATTGATGGATTGATGGCTTTCTGATGCACTCAGTCAATATGAAGCAATTATGTTAAAAACAGTTCAGTTTTGAAGCATTTCACAGTCAAAAATGGCGCCATCTGCTGGCCAATACCCTGATACTGTATTTATAGGGTGGAATAAATCTGAGACTATGCAGAAACACTTGGTGACATTATAAGTGATCTTAATGCTTATATTATTGTTCCCTAAAGCTAGTATTATGAAAACAGATCACTTTCAAACTGGTTGTATGACTCTGCTTTTAAATACTGAGAGGTTCATGTGGCATTCAAAACCAGCATGACAACTCACCTGAGTGTGATGTAACGAGGCCTCATTTGGGGTGGTGACATGATTTTTTGCGTGGTGAAGCGAGGCATCAAAACATTGTGCTGCAATACTTATGTGAAGGGTCGATATGGTGTCGAGTCATCTGCTTTTAGTATAACATCACCAGCTTCAAGGCCTATCAGTTGCACTCCAAATGGCCCAAAACGTAAAACCAAAACAGTTGTCATTTAATTTTTTTTTACATACAACGGTTATTACATCTGCACATTACATTACAATGATGTAAAAATTTATTTATAGCTATTTGAACATTTTGGAAATTTAATTTGCCTGTGCTTAGCCACATAGGGTGACATGATGTTACGACCAAGATGCATAACCAGTAACATTAGCTTGACTTAGTTCATTCATTCAGATGTGTGTGCATGTCTGTGTGTCATGCTTTCCATAATATAATAAGGATATAGTACAGGAGGTGGATAAATTGACAGATATACAGACAGAAAGACTGTCACTTTGCTTGGCTTCTTAGCCTGCTTGATTTTCATGGTTGTAAATAGAATTCCATTCAATCCACAGACAGAAGGGAAGCAACAGGTGGAGAGAGGAAGCTGCAAGTGTCAACAGCTGTTTTAACAGAGTGATATTTGTTCGTGCTCTGATTATAGATGTTTTGGTTTTAAAAAAGTAGCCTTATGTTGTTGTTATTTAGCCTTTCTGAGAAACGGTCACTTCATTCTAGTAGTAATAGTAGCAGCACTAGTCAGGGGTGGTACTAGCCCTGTACTTTGCTGAGTACTACTCAGAAAATCGGATTTGGTACATACAGTATTGTTCAAAATAATAGCAGTACAATGTGACTAACCAGAATAATCCAGGTTTTTAGTATATTTTTTATTGCTACATGGCAAACAAGTTACCAGTAGGTGCAGTAGATTCTCAGAAAGCAAACAAGACCCAGCATTCATGATATGCACGCTCTTAAGGCTGTGCAATTGGGCAATTAGTTGAAAGGGGTGTGTTCAAAAAAATAGCAGTGTCTGCCGTTGACTGTACAAACACAAAACTATTTTGTACAAACGTTTTTGTTTCTAGGATTTAGCAATCCTGTGAATCACTAAACTAATATTTAGTTGTATGACCACAGTTTTTTATAACTGCTTCACATCTGTGTGGCATGGAGTCAACCAACTTGTGGCACCTTTCAGCTGTTATTACACTCCATGATTCTTTAACAACATTCCACAATTCATTTACATTTCTTGGTTTTGCTTCAGAAACAGCATTTTTGATATCACCCCACAAGTTCTCGATTGGATTAAGGTCCGGGGATTGGGCTGGCCACTCCATAACATTAATTTTGTTGGTTTGGAACCAAGACTTTGCTCGTTTACTAGTGTGTTTGGGGTCATTGTCTTGTTGAAACAACCATTTCAAGGGCATGTCCTCTTCAGCATAAGGCAACATGACCTCTTCAAGTATTTTGACATATGCAAACTGATCCATGATCCCTGGTATGCGATAAATAGGCCCAACACCATAGTAGGAGAAACATGCCCATATCATGATGCTTGCACCACCATGCTTCACTGTCTTCACTGTGTACTGTGGCTTGAATTCAGAGTTTGGGGGTCATCTCACAAACTGTCTGTGGCCCTTGGACCCAAAAAGAACAATTTTACTCTCATCAGTCCACAAAATGTTCCTCCATTTCTCTTTAGGCCAGTTGATGTGTTCTTTGGCAAATTGTAACCTCTTCTGCACGTGCCTTTTTTTTAACAGAGGGACTTTGCGGGGGATTCTTGAAAATAGATTAGCTTCACACAGACGTCTTCTAACTGTCACAGTACTTACAGGTAACTCCAGACTGTCTTTGATCATCCTGGAGCTGATCATTGGCTGGGCCTTTGCCATTCTGGTTATTCTTCGATCCATTTTGATGGTTGTCTTCCGTTTTCTTCCACGTCTCTCTGGTTTTGCTCTCCATTTTAAGGCATTGGAGATCATTTTAGCTGAACAGCCTATAATTTTTTGCACCTCTTTATAGGTTTTCCCCTCTCCAATCAACTTTTTAATCAAAGTACGCTGTTCTTCTGAACAATGTCTTGAACGACCCATTTTCCTCAGGCTTTCAAATGCATGTTCAACAAGTGCTGGCTTCATCCTTAAATAGGGGCCACCTGATTCACACCTGTTATTTCACAAAATTGATGACCTCACTGATTGAATGCCACACTGCTATTTTTTTGAACACACCCCTTTCAACTAATTGCCCAATTGCACAGCCTTAAGAGCGCGCATATCATGAATGCTGGGTCTTGTTTGCTTTCTGAGAATCTACTGCACCTACTGGTAACTTGTTTGCCATGTAGCAATAAAAAATATACTAAAAACCTGGATTATTCTGGTTAGTCACATTGTACTGCTATTATTTTGAACAATACTGTAGTAGTACATGATCTGAAAAGTTTGGGAACCTCTGGCTTAGACTGTATTGCTAAATATTAAAGAACCATCATTTATGTGCAAGTATGTCATGTATTCTTCTAGAAATCATCAGTTAATTTAACCTCTGTTTGCTACATAATTCTTGTCAAAGTGTTTTCTTTTTAGTTTTCAACATTATTGGCGTCTACCCATCTGTCTGTCCGCCTGTCTGTCTGTCTGTCCATCCATCTGTGTAATCATGTTACATACCAAATGGCTGTGAAAAAATTTATTTAGAATACACCTACACTGTAAGATATGGGGACAAAATCCACTGTTTACATGCTGTGTAAAAATGGATCTTGATGTTCAGCTGGAATGTTTAATGTGACTACTAACACTTCAAATACAGTTATGACATGTGAGTACTGCATGGCATAACCCAGTTAAGATGATAAAAATGTTAGCTGAAAGAAGCACTTCCATCAAGTGGAATGGAAATGTCTGCCTTCTGTTCATACTTCTTCCAGTAGCATGATGGTAGTTCATTTCTGGCTTTTTCATTCATTCTGATTCAGATGGTTTTTATCGAGGAGATAAACTGATCAGCCTGAAGCTCTTAGCTGATGAAGCACTGCAGAAATGCAGAGACAAGTAAGCTGTCCACACACACACACACACACACACACACACACACACACACACGCACACAAACACACAGGCTCCAGTTCACAAGCAAGTGCAGCAGCCAAGCAAGCAAGTTCTGTTTACTTTTACTAAGGCAAATCATTGAGGCTTTCTCCAGCCCTTAACGTTAACATGCCCACAGCAAAATAGTAGTCGCATTTATCATTATTTAATTTGGATTTATTGTTACATCAGTAATATGTCTTCCTTCCTGGGTCCATATTAAAATATACACAGGGCTTAAGTGCTTTTATATGATGTGAGGTGATTATTTTAACATGGCGCATGTGAGCGGCTTTTCAGTGTTGGCAAGAACATTTTCAGTACCAAACAGAACCACCTGTTGAATAAGGACTTTGAGAAACTTCTCATGTGTTATATAAACAAGAGATTTTGCTCTGACAAGTAATTAGGCCCATTATTTAGATCAGTTGCTAGTTTCTCCCCGTCACCAGCCCAGATGGGATTGTTTTATTTAGGACAGGTTTAGGTCTAAGGTAATACACTCAGCTGATGGGCAGTTTTGCTGGAATGTTAGTACTTAGTGTTATATTTAGTTGTAATTTCAAATCACATGAACATTGTCAATATGACAATTTTTTGCAGAATAGTTTGAAGTACTTTTTCCTAAATAGCTTCAGTTAACAAAACTAGATTTCTTCCTAGAGTAGCTTCACTGTAGTTCAACTTCTTCCAGTGTAAAGTACGTTGTAGCTTGCTTGCTAGCGATATAATATCATTTTTCATCAACTGAGATGTCTATTGAAGGTGGACATACTTCAGAATGCAGCTTGCGATTTCATATGAAACTAAGAGTAAAACATTGGCTTTATTTCAGTTTTATCCCCAACACATAAACATATTTTCTTTATGTTTTGTTAAGAAATGGAGAATGCAGTCATTCTGAACCCGGTGAAACAGAGCTGAGATTAGATAAGATCTCCACAGGTCACACACAGTCTCAGTTCCCTTCTGCAACACTAAACATGGTGACCTTGTTTGGACTAGGACAGACAGCCCAGTAGCAATGAGCCAGATCATTCAGCTTATATAAATTACTCCTCATGTTAGTATTCCTGGGCACTGCCACACCTAAGTAATGCTCTTTGAAACTAAAATGGTAACTTTGTGAACTTTGTTTTATCAAGAATTATAGGAGAGGGCCAGAACTTGCTCACTGGGTATGATATTGCATTTAATACTATGTTTATGTCCCGGTGCAGGGGTTTCCCAGTTGAGAAGTGTATTATGCTGAAGCACTTGTCCAAAGAAACAGAAGAGACTCATCTGGGCTCTCAGTCTCCTCCCGCCAAGCGATGCTGTCCTGATCTACAGGTAAACCCAAGCTGGGCCAGTTTACTCCAGTCCAGGCCAAAGTGTCTGTTAAATGGGGTTAAATCATTAATTTATTCAGCTGTGGTTATATCTTCACATCATAATTTAGTGTATCTTTTTATATGTTAGGTTATTTTAAGTTTGCATTCTCCCCAAGAAAACATCATTGCTTTGCTTCTACCATGTTTGTCAAATAAAAGACAGCGGGGTCAGTTTTACTAGCATATAAATAATACAGATTCTTGACTTTTGTGAAAGTATTTTAAAACAAAAGGCTGGTGATTTTCTTTGTTTGTCAATAATTTCTATGAAAGAATTTAATAGTGGCAGTGAGAGATGGACAAATGTAAAAGCAGCCTTTCACTTTGAATATAATTTTATGCATTAGTGTAGATGCTTCTGAATTTTGGTTGAGAATGTTATGAAGTTGTTTAGTCCACCCAACAAGAACTGACTTTTCCTCAACAGTTTTTTTTTGGGAAATTCATAAGCATTGGGACCATTTTTTGTCAAACTGACCTTGAGTGTCATTTTTTTTTACATGCAGTAATCAGTCATGAAAACCTCTCTCCATGTTTCCACTAGAGGTGACCGGTTTTTTAACTTTGTGGGTTTTTTATATTTTGACTTCATAAATTAACCACTTTCCCCCATTAACATTTCCCTCCTCCTCCTCCTCCTTTTCCTCCTCCTCTTGACTTTCATCTCTCCCATCCAGCAGGAAAAACAGACAGGAAGAGTAAAGAAAACACGTCCTGTTCCCCAGGTATTTTCATACTCTCCTCCCTTCACTAAACCTTCCATAACACCTTTGCTTTTGCTTTTTTAAAGGGGAAATTCATCCACATCAGCATTTGCATATTACTGCTGCAAGGTAAAAAGAATAAACAAAGCATGAAGAAAACCATAAATGCTGCTTAGGTTAATTTTGTTAAAGGAATGAATTATGCTTTGCTTAGTGGCTCCTATTAAAATTTAAGAAACTATATTGCTGATTTATTGTTTTTACCCAGCAACAGCAGTTTCTTATTCCTGTGATTTTTGTCAGTTGAGGCTACATTTGTGAACATGATAAATAATTAGTTTGATCAGAAAAATATTAATAAAATTTTGTGACTAACATATCAGTACCCGCTGACACTAAAATGCACTACTGAAATATGAAACGGACACAGTTAAAGGTACCTTAATTAATGTCTTTTCAGCTGCTAAATGGTCTAGTAAAATTCAAAACAAACCTATCAACAATGCGAGCTACAGATGCCAGGTTGGGACAAACTGTACAAAAAGCAGCCACCAGACCAAAGCTACTGTTAAAGTGCCCATGGCATGCTCATTTTGCTCATTTCCAGCCATTTAATGTTTAATCTTGGGTACCTCTAGATTAGCTTTGCACCTATCATACCTCCAAATAGTCTGTAATTATTTCAGAATGATAAAACCAGAGAGCCTCTTCTTGAAAACCTGAGGATAGTTCATGAACATGCACAACTCCTGTTGTTGGTGTTGTGTCAAAAGTGGACAGCAGGACAAACTGGAACAGCATTAATTAATTTGAATGTCTCCTCCATAGATAGGTAAACAACAGTATATGTACCGATGAAGAGAGATGTGTAACACTATAAACAAAGTGGGTAGTTGAGAAAACCCATATTTTAACTGACATAATGCAGACATAGTAACTTCTACAGCCTTACAACAATTCTCTACAGAAACAACGCATTAACAGACGTGCAACCTGTGGGTTTTTTTTTAAACTTAACGTTAAGTCCCACCACATAGGATCTTTAATCCGCTTGTTAACCAGCATCACATCACATGCAACAGACACACTGGCCTCAAGCAGTCAAAACAAACAGGTACTGTGCTCCGGGGGAATCCAACATTGATCATTCACCACCGTGGGGGGCTTCACAGGCCGGCTGCTTGTAGGTTAGACCCGGTCACATAAAACAGTGAGTCCCTGTACAGGAACATTCTCCTGGACATGCAGTAACCTTAGGCCTTGTATTTCTCTCCACATGCTCTGGTCACAGTGTAGCAGCTGGAGGTCAAATACATCCACAAAACCAGGTGCAGTCGAAAAAATTCTACTTTTACAATGGCACCAGTGGATGTCAAGCAAGCTCACATGAACGTGCAACTGCCTGGAGATTATGACCATTCAAAAAAATCCTTAAACTATCAGGCAAACCTAATTTTGGCAGAAAAAAGTTTCACGAGCGAGAGTTTGCGAGATGTGTAAACCGTGTTGCTTAGGCATAGAAGTACTAGAACACACGTTTCTCCTTATTTCTTGAGCTTTAGGTCATGGGTAAGATGATAATTCACCATTGTAACATTGCAGATAAGTAAAAAAAAAACAAGATAAAGCATGCCATGGGTCTTTGACTAATGAATCCTGCATTGCAGCAGAACATCGTTAAGTGATGTGGATCCCAGTCTCAAATGGGGTTTAACAAAGCACTAAATTGCACAAAGATTGAATTTCTCCGTGACATTCAATCACAACCATGCAAGATCGCCAGTGTTACCCAAACAAACATGTTAGCTTTAGATGCTAACACGTTCAGAAGGAAAAACACCACATTTGAACCAAATTTGAGTCTTTTGGTTTGAACACTCCATCAAAAAGCTGTTTTTAACCCTGACTTTTGCATTTTATTTGGCCCATTCTGCGCAAAAGACCGTGACCTTTGCGGTCTGCCAGCTACTGTCTTGGACTTTTAGTGACTAGTTGTGGTTTGAAAACGTTTTCGCTAGGTTAATGTCCTGACTGACCATCAAACAGAAGGAAAAGAAACAGGAACAACAACAGAAGGGCTGTAGGCCGAAGAGTGTCATGGTAGTATAGCTGAGAGACACCACATCCTGTCCCCTTTTAACTTTATTTAACAAACATGTAAAATCTTAGTTAGTGCACCTTTAAATTGATTGATTTTTATTTTATCATGAATGATTCAACTTGAATAATATTTTAGGAGTCCCCTGTATCCCGGTGCTTACGGCGGGTGCTACGTGTCTGTGGTTTGAAATTAAGATCTAGATTTATACAAAAAATTGAAAGATACAGATAGAATTTTTAAAGATGTGTGAAAGTGGTACTCGTGTTTTCAAATGTTTTCTCAACAGTAAATTCATGGGAATAAAATGTAAATTCTCTGTCCTTGTGGAATTGGACTAACATTGTTTTCTTTTTTTGTCTCTATCCAAAATGACCCACTGCCTCTAAAGACTCTTGTGTTCTTCCTAATGTAATTGCAGTGACACTTCTTTCCTTTACAAACATTACAGTGAGAAAGAATTGGGGATCTGCTGTTGTAGATCACTAGGATTTGATTTTTTTGCTTAAGCATACTTTTCACATGTGGCTATGCTTTGGATCTTAACTGTTAAACACAGCATAGTGTTATGGTTCTGATTATGGTCTAATTAGAGTTGTGCCACCAAAAACAGAACACTTTACTTAAGCTAATAGGTACTCATGTGATTGAATATTATCATTTGTTTTTTAATGTATCACTTAAAGTTCAGTTGTATTGTGATGAGAGGATCATATTATGTTATCATTTTGCTTATTTTGTTTTCCAAATAAATTATTCTAAGCAAATTGTAGTTAAAGCCTAACAATAAAATACTGAATGTTTAGTTTCATACATATTAAAGCTCCTGTCCACTATAGTGATACAGATCAACAGAAAATATGTTGGCGAATCAATGCCAAGGAGCATTAAAGCTGTTGTGGTGGCCCAACACCTTACTGAGACACTTTATGTTGGTTTTCCCTTTAATTGGTTGCCAATCTGCATGTTACCAGGGCTGGGAATGCCTTGGCGTCCCAAATAAGTGGGGAAAAAAAACAGATGGATAAATGGGTTAATGTGGTGCCCAAACTGTTACACATGCCACAGTTACTGAAACAGTAACATTTGGAGAAGGCTACCTTTAATTTCTGATTGCTGCAGGGGTGGTATTTATGTATTCTCAATTCAGAATGTGGATTTGAATCACCCAGCTCTCACTAACTAATCCTCTATTTACATGAGCCGACTCTATTGGTAGATTCAGATTTTTGTCAAAAGAAGCGCATATTGATTTTTTTTTTTTTTTATGTTTACCTTACAGTATATTTTAACCAGCTAAAGATATCTAATTATTTTTATTGTGGTTTAATTTTTTTATTTTTATTTTTTAATTTTTTGCAGTAACCTGGATGTATATTAATAATGACTTTGTATCAGGCAACAGGGGTTAGTGCCCTGTATGTATATCTTGGCAGCATTGCTTCATATCTGGTAACCTCTGGGTTGAACGACGTCTTGGTGTCAGTGTGACACATGAGAATCCTATTGAACATCTGTGGAAAGAGCTGAAAGTGGAGAAGGCAGTCTTTGAAAAGCTTGCTCAGGACAAGTGGGCCAAACCACCTGGTGACATTTGCAGAAGTCTCATTGAGACTTGGTTGCAATGATTTTTTGTTTAGGTCAAAATATTACAGTAAGGGTCCCATCATTTTTGTCCATGCCATGTTGATATTTTTTATTATGTAAAACACTGATGGATCGAAAATCAGAAGCAAAGTCTGATTTTTATGAAATAAACAGCGATGGATGCCAATTACCAGACTGAAGTTATCTTAAAGAAAATTGTGGTTTCTTCTTTTTTCATTGATGAGTTCCAACAAATGTGTCCACTTCTATATTTCTGTGTGCATATTCTTGAGTGAACATTAGACTTAGGTCGAGCTCACTGTTTGGAAAGAGCTTGCATGGTCTACTGGGACAGATTAATTGTTTTTGGCACATGAAGGTAAATGAGAATGATAAAAACAAAAACAAAGCCACCTGTTCATCACTTGTAGGAAAACTGGACCAATAAGTAACTTGGAACATTTTGTGGAGTCGTGCTTTGTTTTATGACTAAAGCTTTCTAACTTTTTCCTTGCTTGCCTGTCTTGTCTTTGTGAGTGTACAGCTTTCTGTACATCTTAGCCCATCTTAATCTCTCTTCTTTCTGTTGCTCCAAAAATTATTAGGCGTTTTAGGCACTTGTGTCTAACAAAGATAAGTTTCACCATTGTTCCTTAAACTGCAAATACATTTTACTTCACATTTTGGTTTTGTTTTATATCAAACAGCAAATGACCCAGCTCTGACTGACAGGGAATAAGTTACAACAAATTCTCCTGTTTGTAACTTTTCTTACAACTCTATTGCTTTATTCACTGTCTCAAAGTTAACGTTTTCTCTTGTTTGCTCTTTCTCTTCAGTAGTGTGTGAGCATGTTTGTCAAGCTAACATTCCTTCACTTTTGTTTTGAGTTTTAGAATGTAGAGACATTTGCTGTTATGGATGTTTACAGCCTGACTGGGATTTTATTGATTACTCTGGGAAATTGTTTGCTCATCTGTCTATCTGTTTGTCTGTGCACGTTTGTGTATTTGTTGATATCTGTGTGTGTGTGTGTGTGTGTGTGTGTGTGTTTTGTTTGTTTTTTTGTTTTATATTTCATACCAGATCCCATGGAACCCCAAGGTGGACTTGTGTTGGTATACACTGGTACGTGGAGTTTCAGATGAATGTGAACCAGAGTGGTGTGAGTCTGAAGATCCTCTCTTTATCCTCTACACCAGCGGTTCAACTGGCAGACCAAAAGTAGAGTAAACACACACAGACATGCATTTTTTCTACAAAATTACCCATTAGAGCTGTAATGTTCTGTACACGAGTAGAGGCACACCCTGTCCAGAGTGGGTGGGATGGTGTTCCAGTATTGTTTAGCTGTACACTGTTTGAAGTTGTAGATTTTCATGATGTATGGGAAGGTTACAATTATTAGCTGCTTTATTTATGCTGACAGAAAGAGCTCACTTGGATAAGGCTTGCTGAGATTCTGGAGGGAACACTATAAACCTAAGTACATGATATTGGGTACTGTAGAGTTTTGCCTGCGTGTTTGTTATGGGTGCTTCTTAGCCAGACGCTTTCTGTTAGGTTGTCTACATCAGCGTGACGCACTTTAGAAGAAAATATAAAAGCAGGGTAATTGAATTTTTGAACAGTGTTAACTGCTAATGGTGTTAACTTGGACTTGCTAATAATGATAGTGGTGTCCATCTGACTTGGTTATTTGTAACTGTGGTATAAGTAGTTCTAACATGCTGTATTAGTAAGGGCCAAAAAGAGCAGGTAATGATCATTATCTGCAGAGAAATGCCTTATTAGTGCATCAGTATTCTTACATCCACAAGCAAAGTCTGAGGGATGATTGACTTTTGAACTTCCACCTGTCATTTGCTGTTTAAATGACATATTTTCAGATTATTAACATGTTTTCACATACAGTGCTCAGTCATTACTGACCCTCCTCTCCTCTTATTTTCAGGGAGTTCTTCACACAGTCAGCGGTTACATGCTCTACACTGCTGTCTCCTTCAAACTGGTGTTTGACTATCAGCCTGATGACATCTACTGGTGCACAGCAGATATTGGTTGGATCACCGGACACTCCTACATCACCTACGGACCACTGGCTAATGGCGCCACCAGTGTCCTGGTGAGTGGAGCCTGAAGGACAGTATTTAACTTCTTTCTTTCTTTTTTAAATCAAGCAACTTGGCTGATCACTTGGCTGATCACTTGGCTGATCACTTGGCTGATCACTTGGCTGATCACTTGGCTGATCACTTGGCTGACCACTTGCAGCCACTCACCCCATTGTGACTGGCTGCACATGGGGTCTTACTTTTTA